GCGTGGATGGATGGATGGAGATGGAGGAGGTGGGACTGGAAGGATGGATGGAGGATGGATGGAAGGATGGAGATGGGAGAAGGATGGATGGGTGGAGGTGGGAAAGGAAGGATGGATGGAGGTGGTGGACATGGATGGGTGGAGGTGGTGGACATGGATGGGTGGATGGAGATGGGAGAAGGATGGATGGAGGTGGAGGTGGTGGACATGGATGGGTGGAGATGGGAGAAATATGGATGGGTGGAGGTGGCGGACATGGATGGGTGGATGGAGATGGAAGAAGGATGGATGGGTGGAGGTGGTGGACATGGATGGATGGATGGAGATGGGAAAGGAAGGATGGAGAGAGGTGGATGCAGTTGGTGGACGTGGATGGGTGGAGGTGGTGGACATGGATGGGTGGATGGAGATGGGAAAGGAAGGATGGATGGAGGTGGTGGGCATGGATGGATGGAAGTGGATGGAGGTGGGAGAGGAAGGATGGATGGAGATGGATGGAGGTGGGGACATGGATGAATGGAGGTAGTGGGCATGGATGGATGGAGGAAGGGTGGATGGATGGGTGGAGATGGGAGAAGAAGCATGGATAGAGGTGGTGGACATGGACGGATGGATGGATGGACGGAGAGGGGGGAAGAAGTATGGAGAAGGAGGTGGGACAAGAAGGATGGATGGAGATGGTGGACATGGATGGATGGAGTTGGATGGAGGTGGCCAAGGAAGGATGGATGGAGATGGTGGACATGGATGGATGGAGGAAAGATGGATGGAAGTGGATGAAGGTAGGGGAGCAAAGATGGATGGAGATGGTGGACATGGATGGATGGAGGAAGGCTGGATGGAGATGGGGTAGCTGGGGGTGGATGGGGAGGAGGGGGTGTGGATGGATGGAGGGAGGGATGGATGGATGGATGGATGGATGGATGGATGGATGGATGGATGGATGGATGATGGATTGCTGGTTGGGTGGATGGATGGATGGATGGATGGATGGATGGATGGATGGGTGGATGGATGGGTGGATGGATGGAGATGGAGGAGGGGGACGTGGACAAGTGGAAGAATGATGGATGGAAGTGGGTGGAGATGGGGAAGAAGGATGGATGGAGGAGGTGGAGGTGGATAGGAGGAGGGAGGATGGCAGGAGATGGTGGCCCAGCAGTTGAAGGTTGCCCAGGGAGCTCCAGCAGGCACCCGGTGGTGGAGCTGGATGGGGTGGTCCCCGCCGTGCCTCACCCATCGCCATCCCCCCGCAGTGGTGGTCATGTGCATGCACTCGGCGCTGCTGGGCGGCGAGGAGCAACGGGTCCTCCTGGAGAAGGCCGAGGACATGGGCATGACCGACGGCACCTACGTCTTCATCCCCTACGACGCCCTCGCCTTCCCCCTGCCCTACCACCACGCGCCCTACCCCGTCCTGGCCAACAACACCAAGCTGCGCCTGGCCTACGACGCGGTCCTCACCGTCACCGTCGACTCGCCCGACGTCACCTTCCACGAGGCCCTGCAGCAGGCCAAGGAGGCCTACGAGATCCCCGCGCACGTCGACCCCACGCAGGGGGGGGGGGGGGGATC